CAAGGATTTATCGGGGTCGTAAGGTACTGCACTGATGACCTATTCACAGCTCCGAGGCAATCTCCCCATCTCTTTCGGGGAAGCCAACATACGAATCCTTTCCACTAGCCTCTTCAAGCAAAATGAAAGGTACGCAAAAATGAATTTCTTCAAAAACCAGTTTTCCTACATTTCTACGAACCTTGATTGCCTTTAAGTGTAGGACAGTGGGTTGTTTGAATAAGTCACCGCAAGCAAATAACGATGCCTATCATGTGACAAACGAAAGCTAGCATGAATTCATCAGGATCACAGGAGTTTATTATGGGACTTTGGTACAATCCAACGTTCCCCACTCTAGGGCAATCCTGCTGCTGATGATGAGACCAATTACGAATTCCTTTCAACCCACTTTTCTTTCGAAATGAAATTCGAGTCGCATTTAAGTGAATCATTTTGCGCCGTTCCTATTCCGTTAATTTATGATATTTTATCAGATGGATTTTGTGATAAAGCACTCCCAGCTAGGGATATTAAAAACTACTTTTGGCATTTCGTATATTTTATAACTTTTTAAATAGTGGTCTTTTTTAATAACTAACAAGCTGAACTTCCCATACTGGTTAATTTAGTGATTAATTTTCGCCATAAAAAAGTTTATACTACTTTCTGAAGTTTTAAAATTAATGTCATTCTCTCGAATAGAAATGCCATAGTCCTTATAGTTTTTTTACTTTCCTCAATCCTCTCTCGCTTTCGTAAGATACGATATTCAACAATTTCGACCTCGTGTTGGCAACCGTGGCTCTGGCCTCCCCACTCTTAATGTCCCAGATGACACTGGATACGAGGCCTCCCTAATATCCAGCTACAGCCATTTTGACCTATCTCAAAACCAATACAACGAGGCCGACACAATTTCAGCCCGCCTCCGGGCTGGTGAGGCATGGCCATCTTTTGGTTCTGTAGTCAATGGTGAGGCGGTGCCGTCTTTCCAGCCACATCAACAATTTGGCACTACTTTAAGCCAGTAAGCCTCTGGTATTGCATTAATGTATTGAAAGTAGTAACATTTATTTAATGTTGAATTGCGCTTTTGATTTTCTTATTTATTTTGTTATTCCTTTACTATACCTTATTCTTATACTGAATTGATTTTCATGGATTCCAGTCTATAGAGGACTATTGTCTGCATGCTTCACTTGTTTAAACGTTCACAAAATA